TGCACTTTCTATTTTTCTTTTTGTTATTGTATTTTTTAAATTTATATTTTTATTATAATGTTTAAATTATTATAAAAATGTCAGCAAAATGACAAATGTGAGATCCAATGAGGGATGGGAGCTTTATCAAGGCCAGAAAATCCAGATAAGCATTTATTTCCCGGGCCTAAAGATTAAGAGGAAGGAAGTGAGCTGTCAACGCTGCAAATACTATATATTCTTGCTTTGACAATATGCAGAACTGTCTGGTATTTTTATAGTTAAATCAGGCAACAGTGAAAGGGGAGGAGAATATAAGGAAAGCCCGGGAAAAAGGAACCGGAAGTGAATCACATCTTCCAAGTTAATTGGAAGATGTGAATCATGACCCCAAAATAGGGGAGGGGAAAATACCTGGAATGTTATGTGCAACGGAAAAGGATCTCAGATCTAAGCATCCACCATGCCGTACTGACACCTCTGTAACCTTAATAAATGCTTTTAGGTTAATAAAATGCCTGAAAGTTCTTTTAAGTGTTTCGTTAATCAGACACATGACATGAGCAACTAGCAACCCACCTTGAAAGCAGTCACATGTTCTCCAACTTCTTCTACCACTCCAGCTACATCTGTACCTGGTGTATATGGTAAAGATGGTTTCCTTTTATAAGATCCAGAACGAATATAGGTGTCCACTGGGTTGATCCCACATGCATGAACTTTGATGAGAACCTGAAGGAGAAAAAAAAATATCTCAGAACTTAGTTCAAAAGGAAGGGGGATACTTTTTTAAATGTGCAACCTCACAATCTCAGGTCTCTCAGATCAGAGATAAGTTTGCAATCACCCCTGATTTGGGTCCCTCCAGAGGCATTAAATCATAACCTCCAGCATCCACATGGATGCTTCAGTCATGAATAAGATGACTTGGAGAAATATCCTCTCTCCTACAGTTTCTCCTTCCCAACCTCTCCGGAATCATTAATCAGCCCATTTCCTTGCTGCCTTTTTACGAACTGTGAATCCGCACACATATCCACCACAACTGTTGGTAGAATAGTTATGTTCCAAATTATTGATGTCAATTTCAATTATCCAAATGCAAATTCTGGGTTCCAATTAAGGTGCAACTGCAATTATTTTCCCCATTTTATCTTCTGAAATGAAATTATTTATATCAAGTTTTATTCAAGCTCATTTTGCATTATCTGAGCAGGACCTCATGTTTAAGAATAGTAGCAGTAGTAGCAAAAGCAGCAACATTGCATATTCTTTATTTTACCTGGTTCTCTTTTGGAACTGGCACTAACGTATCTAGCTGCAGTTTGAGCACCTCAGGCCCACCAAATTCAAACACTTTTATGGCTCTCATCAAATTTCTTCCTGTTGTCATGACAACCTGAAAATGCACAGATATAAAAACCACAGTATCTGAATATCTGCTGCCTTTTCACTTCAAAGAGAATCAAAATCATTTGTTCTTCACCTGAAACTTAAACCAGTGGGTTCTCTGTCTATTTCTTCCTGTTCTATTTTATGTCCCCATCTGATTTTTATCCCTAAAGGGATAAAATTCCAACCACAATGTGAAGAAAACTTGAATCAAACACAGCTAAATATGTATAAACAGCTACATCACTTTGAACTGGCATCATTCATCACATTCTCTGAATGATTTACTGCATTGCAAAGTTAACAGGATTTTGCAAAGGACCAAGAGTCCTAAATTACAACTGGCCAGTCTCTACTGAACCATGGAACTCCCAAGGAGATTACTACACAGTCTGACCCTCCTTATAGAATTGTGAAAATAACCAGAAGGGAAATATAACATGTGTTACCTTGAGCTCCTGACCTCCTGGAAGGGGAGAATCAAAATACAACACAGATTCAAAGATCCTGGTGCCAATAAAAATCTCAGGGAAGGCAAAATCAACAAACGTTCAAATCAGGACACCAGTGTCTTTGATCTGATATTCAAATAATTGGCACCTTTTTTCCCTTTGGGGTCCAAAAGAAAACAAAGGCATACCTGCAGTCTAATAACACTTGTCATAACATAGCATGATTACTGTACAGTATGCTGAGTTCTGCTCAAATTCCATCCAAATGTTCCTTTACGGGGATAAATCTTTCCTCCTCTTTAGGCAAAAAGCAAACAGTGCTTGATAAATGAACACATAAATAGCAACAAAGGGCCTTGCGGTGTTTTAGATTAAATCTCTAAAAATTGATTCGAGGTACATGGGAACACGAACCTAGCACATGTATAAAACACCTTAAAGCAGCCTTACCTTTTCCTGATATTGTATGGCTGCAGATCGATAAGTGCAGAAAATCCTGGTTTCCACAACCTGAATGTTGCAAATTGAATTCACTTGCTCAAATTTTTTTTTTTACATCATTTCATCTATAAAAATGAAAAATCTCAAGGTTTCTTGGCTAAGTCTACATGGTGTCATTTCTTATGCCATTTTGGTTTGGCTTGTTTTATATCCCAAGTGAAAAGTGTCTTCTGATTTAAAAAGCATACTGCAAAAACTCATCCTTTTGCAGTAATCAAACTATATGTGAAACTAAACTATATGAAAATTTGCAGACAGACCAATAATATATTGCTGCAAATGTCAGACATATAATATTTCTGAGAAAAGCTGAATCCAATTATCAGTGGCCAGAGTCAGTAGATCACCAATATTTGTAACAATTTGTTCACATGATCAATTGTTGTTTTAATCATTCAGTCTTTTCCGATTCTTGCCGACTTTATAGGCAAGTGCTCTCCCTGCTACCCTGTCAAGCACAGCTTCTTTCAATTGTTGGATGTCCATCTTTGTATCAGTTTTGATGTTTTTTTTGCTTGCCCCTTCTTCTTGTTCCACTAACTATTCCTAGCATCATTGGTTAGTAAAAGAAGAATAGTAGAACAAGAAGAATGAACAATAGGAGTTACCTATTACACTCCTAGAAAAAAAGAATTTTGTCCGTTAAAAAGCTATTCAATACATTTAATCAAAGCAAGTTACATTTTTGCCATTTCTAACACAATCAACAAATTTTAATAGATACTAGATATTTTTTTAAATAAATGCACAAGAATAAAAAATCTACTTCAAAATAGTTTTATAATATAAAGAATAACTTAAATAATGTCATACTGTTGATAATTCATAGAATCTTCATGCTTCTGGCATGAAAAGGAAACAGATGGAAAATGATTTGCAAGGACAGTAGTACTTAAAACGCTAAGCATATAACATATTTCACCAGAGTGTCTGAATTCCTGTGTTGTCCTTCTTTATCTCTGAACTATTTGAACTGCCAAGAAATTAGCAGGACCACAGAACTTTGGGGTCAAATCAGCAAACAAATATGCTTTTAAAGGATCTGTTTTGGAAGAGATCACACCTATATTGGCTAGTGCTAGCTTTCAATGCTAGTAAACAGTTTTAAAATTATTTTTCTACTGCACTGCATGAGCATTTGTCCAAAAATTGTTGTAATGGAACCTATTCCAAAATAAGATTTCAGGAATTGTATCCCTATTCTCTTTTTTAGGGCTGCCAAATCCATACATATGATAAATCTGGACACCCACATGAAGGCAGCAAAGACTTACAGAGGGCACCTGCCTTTCTGCACAACAGATCTAGCAGTCCTTTTTTAATTTCAGAATTTAGCTAGGGTACCACTCAGTGCAGATTTCTTCTTACTTAAGCAACCACCATCAAAGACTGCAATTTTTCTATATGACATTTATGGAGTTTTGTTCAGGTAGTCTTTCAAATTAGGTTTTTTTTAAAAAGGCTGTGAGCTGCCTAGAGTCTTTCTGGACTTGGGTAGTCTGAAAATCCAATTTAAAAAAGGAAATATTATATTTCAATCCTGTTATAGTCCAAGAACAAAATCGGACTTAGTTCTGATGTGAACATTCCCCCTGCTATTTATTGCTGTGGAATGTCTACCACAAAACCTCCCAGACTTATTGTTGTTACACAATATGAATGACTGCCCTTTGGCCAAGGGCAGGTGGTCTCCTGATGTTTGCAGGACTGCAGCTCCAGTTAGCTCAACTGATACAATTTAAACAACTAAAAAAAAACAAAAAACCACCCTGGTTTCTCAGCTATACTAAACAGCCATCTGGTCGAGTCTTCTCTTGTCTAACAGGAGCTATAGACCCTCACGATGGAGAATGAGTAGAGTGAAGCCACCCTTGAATTGATTTCAGCTTCTGCTAACTTCATGGATATCTCCAGATACTTTTCTTGGGAGTAGTACAAAACTAGGCGGATGATGCCTTTTTTCAGTGTTTTGCTGTCTTCTCTCTCCAGCCCAAGGCATACTGGCGAAGAAGTCAGAGTCATGTAGTAGTTAAGGCAGTGTTTTTCCACCCTTAGTAACTTTCAGATGCTTGGACTTCAACTCCCAGAATTCTACAGCAAGCCATACTGGCTGGAGAATTCTGGGAGTTGGAGTCCACACGTTTTAAAGTTGCAAGGATGAAAAACACAGGCTTAAGGGCGTTAGAATGGCACCAGGAACACCCGGATTCTATTCCAACCTCAGCCATAGAGACATCTCTCAGCCCGACCTATTTCAAAGATTGGCCCGGGGAGAAACAGGAAGAGGAAGCAGTAAGTGACTCCATCAGACAGGCGGGGTACAAATCTAAGGAACATCAGACCTGCAATCACAATCGAATCATGTCGCAAACCGTGGCTTTAATTTTGTACCTCTCGACTCACCGTCGCCTAGGCTCCTTGAGCAAGGGAAGAAGCCTCCGCAGGGTCTTCGCTTCCAAGAAAATAAAGAGGGAGGGTGAATCCCGAAAGCAATATATACTCTTATCTAATCAGAAAGGGTCATCGGACGTTTACTTCCGAGGATCCGGGACTTGGGGAAATAAGTTTGCCCCAAGCGAGACGCCGTCCGGCTAAGATGGCGCCTCCCACGGACGGGTCCCATGAAGGCCGCCATTGCCGCCGTCTAGGGGCGGGGAGGAAAAAGAGCCGCCGCCGCCGCCGCCGCTATTGCTGATGGCCGATTTCAAACACTGGAAAGAGCAGCGGCTGTCGCGCGCAGATGCGAGCCGGAAGGGCAGCGTAGATGAACCTATCGAGGAGATCGTCCGGCTCTTGAATGGCCGCGAGACTTTCTGCACCACCAGCTCGTGCTCGGGGCGCGTGGTGGTTCTGGAACAGCCCCCGGCCGCCCCCCCGGCTGCGGTAAGCCCAGCTTCGGCCTGTGCTGCAGATCTGAAGCCGACCTGAGGTTGGGTGGAACCGCTCCCTCCTCCTCCACCACCACCTCTTCTTTCTGCTCTGGAACCTCGTGGGGTTGTAACCTGAAAAAAACAATTCTTTGGGAGTTAAAGCGCTGCTTTAGGGCAACCCTCCGCTAGGTTAAGGCTCTGCAGCATCTGGGTTGCAAAACTCCGCTCTATCATTAAGACGATGCGTATAAAATGTGGGGAGTTGTTGCTTCCCGGAACTTTGCAGCCCAAATCTTGGAAGCCCCGATGTGTAATAAATTGGGTGCTGAATGAACAACACACACACAGACACATCCATCGAGAAAGCTCTTCTTGCTATTCCCGCTCAGCTATGAGAACTTCATTCCACTCTCAGATTGTTGGAATTGAACAAGCAGCTCAGTGAATTCAGATTCCCCTGAAATATGGTGTAGGGTTCCTGCCTGAGCAGGGGGTTGGACTCGATGACCTCCAAGGTCCCTTCCAACTTATTATTGTTGTTGTTGTTGTTATTATTATTATTATTATTATTATTATTATTATTATTATTATTATTATTATTATTATTATTATTCCAAAGGGTGGAAAAATCCCTTTATGTGTAGGTCTCTGTTTTAGCATTGACACCTGGCGACTGCTTAGTCTGGTTCCTGAATTTTCTTGGCAAAATTTTCAGAAGTGCCTCCTTTGCCATTGCCTCCTTTCTAGGGCTCAGAGAGAGGGACTGGCCCAAGATCTCCCAGCTGGCTTTGTGCCACCTAAGGCAGGACTAGAATTCATTTATCTCTGTTTCTAGCCTGGTGCTTTAACCAAACTGGGCAGTTGTCCAGAATCATTCTCCAGCTTAAGTAAGATGGTTTGGATAATAGCAATAGCACTTAGACTTATAGACCGCTTCACAGTGCTTTACAGCCCTCTTTAAGTGGTTTACAGACTCAGCATATTTTCCCCAACAATCTGGGTCCTCATTTTACTGACCTCAGATGGATGGAAAGCTAAGTCAACACTTCAGAGTTCCTCTTAAAAGAAAATGAGACATCTGATACATGTATTTACTAGGAGGTGCTTCAGATTGCACCTGAGGTATTTGAAGTATGTATGTCCCAACCTTCTCCCATTTTGAAAATATAATGTAAATATATGCCTTATTCAGAGTAAGTGCCACTGCTTCAATCCCTTCAAGACTTGTTCTGTCAGACATAAATGTGATATGATCTCCAGAAATATGTCTTCTTACTCTTTTTCATCTAACTACTAGTCAGATATGTAGCTTGAAACTGATTCATAGGCTACATTTTATTCCCCCATCATCCTTAGCTTTTTTTCCCCCTTTTCTTTAGCATGCTGGGAAATTCTAGTGTTTTAATGTTGGAAAGTTGGGAATACAGGAAGTAGTTCTGACTATGTTTCTATGCCTAAAAGATTTGTACTGTGTGTGATTTTTTTTCTTAACTAGGGTGCTGCTGGCTTTGAAATACAGAAGCAAAGCTGTACTTGGCTTATGGTGACCCACCAATTATGTAGTACAAAAGATGTGGTAAGGATCAGTACATTGTTTATTACACAAGCTTTCAAAATGTTGCTTATTTCTGCATACTAACAATATTGTAAGAATTGCCAAGCTTCTGTAATTAAATTTATATAACAAAATCAGTAGGAAAGGAGTCTGCTCTTCCATGTCATTGTCTTATGTTTGTGGATGATGCAGTTCTTTATTGATCAAAGTAAACGGAATTATTGTGTTTTCTTTTTTGTAGAGTTGTGAGTCATTCAATAGATGATAGACATGACTGGCTTTCTGATGCTTTTTCCATCATAGATATTTAACTCACATGTAATGACTACTGTTAACTGAAGTCTGAGGGTATCCAAGAAGCTGACTATATCAAATGATCAAATCACCTTATTTATTTCAAAATTTTAAATGTCTTGGTGATGATTTATACTAGTGATAGGGACAAACTTGTTTTAAAGCCCTAGTAAGATATATTTTTTGTAATAGAAAATTGCAGGCTTCTGAAAGAAAGGGACTATATGAGAGCAGAAGTACACGTGAAAAGGAATTGGATGACTTGGTGGATCACAAGTTGAACATAAGTTAACAGCTGCAGAAAATTCAAATGTAGTTTTGAACTTCCCCAATGAAGTATAATATTATGATTAAAAGAAATAGTCCAGTTCATCAATCCTCCTTTTTCTGTTTTCCTTTCCTTTCTTCCTTTCCTTCTTTTACATTTACTATTTTTCTTTGAATGTACTACTTGTTATGCATGTAAAATCTTTTAATAAAAACATTTTAAAAAGATTGGTGAACTGGACTACATCCAGAGGAAAGTAACAAAGATGACCAGTGACTTGGAGGGAAAAGGTACAAGAAATGGAGAAAGTTTTAGGTTGCTCAGCTTGGAGAAGACAAGATAGATGGGGGGCAACATAATGGATTGTTTTCTTCAAAATCTGAAGGGCTGAAATACAAAAAATGAGACAGAATTCTTCAGAATTGTTCCAGAACATTGTTTATACTACAGAGAAATAGAATCTGATTAAATGTCAAGGGGAAAAAAAACTTCACTACCAGACCTGGAAAATGCCTACCTCTGGAGGTGATGGTCTCTCTTCACTGGAAGTATTTAAATCGAAGTAGGAGAGCTGTGTATCAGGAATGCTGTAGAAGTGGATTCCAGCCCTTATTGGGGGGTTGGACTAGATGATCTCCAAACTCCCATTTTAACATTTTAGGGTATGGTGATCAAAGAGAAGATAAAACTTTATTGAATGAAAGCATTCTAGGAAAATAATGCTTTGTAGTGTTCATTTTCTTCCAAAAACCAGTTTTAAAAAGTTAAATAGGTCAATATGTGGATAAGATCTGTACAGAAAGTAATAAAACTTTTGGAGTCAGGAATGTTTTTGTAGTATTCTTTAAACATGTGCATTATTACTGTAAATGTGCACTATTTTTTCCCATATTGCAGATCTTCTAGCTAGATGGAGTTTATTATTTTTCAAAGTATTATTTGAATGACATCTGGAAACTGATAGGCCAGATTTGATCAGAAGCTTTTCTGAAAACTGGTGTGCAGACCTTAGAATTGTGGCTATATGATACAACATCAAGATTTCTAAACCTCTTTATCGTTAGCAGTCAATCTTTTGGAAAATCTCAGCAAAATGTTATACCAAAGTGAATAAAACCAAGCAGAGCACATATCAGGCACTGTGTATGAATATTATAACATGGGAGAAATTTATTTTAATTAGCACGTCAAGTCAGCTTCTGTCATGCAGTGTTTTTAGATGCTAAATAAGCTACTTATATTTCATTGCTAACAGATGTCGCATCGATATTAACCTTTTGCTCTTTCTTAGCTTACCTCCTTGCAGAAAGCTGCAGCTGATGCCATCTTCAAATTTGAACCATTTGTTCTCCATGTGCAATGTCAAGACCTGGAAGATGCACAACTTCTGGTAAAGCATTGTGCTTAAAACACTGTTATTGTTACATAAGTAATGTTTGATTCCTCCCAGTTCTCTCACATGAAGGCATTACAAGTGGTCCTCTACTTACGATCACAATTGGGATCAGAAATTGTGTTGTTAAACGATGTTCTTGTTAAGTGAGCCACACCCAATTTTACAAATTTTTTGCCATGGCTGGTAACTGAATCACTGCAGTTATTAAGTGAATCACATGGGGATTAAGTGAATCTGACTTCCCCATTGACTTTGCTTGTCAGGACCCCAGCTGGCAAGGTTGCAAATGATGATCACATGATCCCAGGACATGGCAACTGTCCCCACACAGTTGCTAAGCACCTGAATTTTAATCACATGACCATGAGGATGCTGCAATGGTTGTATGTATGAGGACCAGTCATAAGTCACATTTTTCAGTGCCTTTGTAACTTTGGTCACTAAACAAATGGTTGTGAGTTCAGGGCTACCTGTATATGAAGCATTGTGTGTTAAATAAGTGGGCCTGTGAAAATGCTGATGGAGGAAACAGCATTTCTGTTGTTTCTATAGATATCATGCTCATAAGTGGAAGCTTGTTTTGTTGGGATTATGAGGTTGAATGAGAATTTCAGAAGTGCAAGTTTTAGATGGTTGGCAATAGTTGGTGGCTATCATCAAAGCATGTAATCATGAATTCATGAATACTGGATTTTGGATGTGAACTTGTATCAGTAAGGAACTAGTGTAAGCTTTTAATTATTTTGATTCACATCAGCAAGTGTAGGTCTTCTTACAGTTTTACGATGCTGTGGGTAATATAAACAGAGTTCAGAAAAAGGGAGAGATTAGATGCAAGAATATTTTTAGGGATCAAAGTGTTTGAGCCCTAAAGTAGCTCTTGTCAACCTCACCAAAAGCAATTTAAGCTGTTTCAATCTGACGGACAGTATTCCAGCCTTTAAACTGATTGCTCTGATTGGAAAATAGAAATCAGAATGGCCAATTGTGAGGTGAAAACACTTCCAGTAAGGTACTGTTCTACTATTTGCACTTCAAAATGCTTTGCACAACTCTTTAAAAAAAGATGTATTTTGTCTCTGATTGGTAGTGTTGTCCATTCTAAGGCACCATGGTTCTGCACATTTAGCTGTAATTGTGTCCTAATGTTTACTTCTATTTTTTTCTGCTTCATAATATGGATTCACATTGCTACGGGCCTGTTGCTATAAACATTTTACATTATGTACTTTTTGAAGTACATCCTTCTGCTATACAGGTAGTCCTCTCTTAGGCAACTGCTTTGTTAGTGCTCACCGCTGTAGCAGTGATGAAAAAGTAACTTCCTGATCAAGCCTTGCATTTATGACTTTTGCAGGTCTACAAAGCAAAGGAAAACTGAAGTAAGACCATAACCATAGTTCTGATTTCCCTTAGTGACTTCACTTAACAGCCAAGTTACCAGTCGCAATTGTGATGGCTAAATGAGGACTTCCTGTAATACTTCGGGATAATGTAAAACAAAAATCTACTTTTTGGATCCAAACATAACAAATAACCTATATTCATGTACATAGGAGAAAAATCGGTATTCAAAAATACACCTTGTTTCAGTGTGGTATATGTTTCTTGGGAAGTTCTTAAATTGACATAGCACTTAGACACTTTGTTTATGCCAACTGTTTGGTCTTATTTTTATAGCACACCGTGGCTATAGAAGCTGGGTTCAGAAATTCTGGTATAACCGTTAGCCGGAAAGGAAAAATTATGATGGTATGTTGTGTTCTTCTACTTTGTCCAAAGGGATATTTGCAGCTCCTCCTGAGAAAATTGCTAGGGTGTAACTGCATACAGGCCTCATTAAGGTGAACTAGCATCTCTACATGGAAAGTAAATGCATGAACATCACTGGCCCCCAGATGGCAGGGACATTGCTTTGACTCGCTCTTGTCACAGCATAAGATGACAGTTAGAACAATTAACCAGTGGAACAACATGCCTCCAGAAGCGGTGAATGCTCCAACACTGGAAGTTTTTAAGAAGAGACTGGACAGCCATTTGTCCGAAATGGTATAGGGTTTCCTGCCTGAGCAGGGGGTTGGACTAGATGACCTCCAACTTTATTATTATTTTTGAACCTGTCTAATAAGATGACATTCACCATAGTACCCAATAATAAACCAAATACATGTGGCAAGCTGTGAAAATATATGTTTTAATCAGCAGGTTGAATCACATCTTAGCCATGTTAAGGTGTCCTTAAAAGCTTTAAGTCAAATCTTGAGTGCAGCCAAGAGCCTCAGCCACTTTCAAAGGCAGTCATATGTTAATCACCAAAATAGACAATTTCAGCTGGGTTGATGGAAGCAGTGTGAAATGTTTTGTAATTACTAAAAAATGAATTGTACCTTGCAAAAGAAATTTAGACACCTTCCTTTGTCACGTCAAGTATTTTTTCTATTAAAGGCCATACACATTTTCTTTAACAAACTTACTTATGCTGAGAACTGTTTTCATGTCAGACGTCTTTAAAAAAAATATACTTTATTGCTTTAATATACAAGGAAAAAAACAGAAGGAAAAACCCCAAAAGGGAGAGAAAGAAAAAAAGACAGGCAAAAAGGGGGAAAATTAAACAACAAAATCAGTTTGTGTCAGATATAAGAAATCATTCAGCTTTATTTTTAAACGCCATTATGTCTTGACTACATTGACTTGTCTTTCCATTATACTGCTAGAGAGCCAGGCCATAAACAGAAAGCAAATCTATATTAGTGTACCAAGGCTATAAATACAGGGTTCCTAACACTGAAAAATAATCTTTCTGTCTGCCCTCATCCTCAGTAGATCATAATCCTTCATTAGCAATAAGTTGCAAGTTTTTGACACAGAATTCAAAAATGTACACACATCTTTTATCAGATTTAATAAAAGCTGGTTAATATGTAAGTTTCTCCTTTTACATCATTACAGGCTGTCCGAAGTACCCATTGTTTAGAAGTTCCATTAACTCAGAAAGGAAGACTAATGGTCAGTGAAGAATATGCTGACTTTGTAGTTCAAGTTGCGAATCGGAAGATGAAAGAAAATTGGAAGAGAATTAACAGGTTTGTTAGCAATGCAGTGGTCAAGGTGCTGGCCTAGAAACCAGGAGACTGAGTTGTAGTCCTGCCTTAGACATGAAGCCAACTGGCTGATCTTGGAGCAGTCACTTTTTCTCAGCACAACCCACCTCACAGGGTTGTTATGAGGAAAACAGGAGGAGGAAGGAGTATTAGCCATTTTTGCCACCTTGTGCTTTTTCTATAAAATAATAAGGGTAGAATAAAAAAGTTCATATCTATGCACCCAGTACAAAATGTGTGTGTACACATATACATACACATTTACTATGCTGATCCATGCATAGTGATTTGGAAGGAATTCAGTGGTTTTTTTTTTCCTGAGTAAGGGCTGATAGGTGTAATGAATAACCATTGTAAGAATCTCTTTAATGAGATTTCATCTTTGCTGGACTCCCAATTTTTAAGACAACAGCACAGGACAAACAGTCCCGTTAAACAATTCTACTTTGCATTCATCATGTAAGCACCATATTAAACTATGTCTTCTTGCATAGATATAATTAAGATGATGTCATCCTGTGATATTTTCTTCCTGCACACTGCTCCATTTTAAGGTCATATATTGGTTGCTTTTGATCATTAGCCTTCTATATTCTAGAAGCTTTATTTATTATAATGTAGATGTTTTACAGTTGACTTTGTGTCATTCCCAGAGTCTTATGATTGTAGAAATTTAATAAATACAGTATATCAATACCATGCTATTTTAGCCTCTCACAAATCAGTTGAGAAAACTCTCTGATTCTCCTGTGGCATTGCATTAATTTATTTTGTTATTAGTGCGATCCAGTTGTTATTTATGCGATCCAATTAATGGAACTGCCAACCTGAAACATATTTAAATCATTCTCTCTCTCTAGATTTTACAGCTCTTTGAAGTTTGCACTAGAAAACAAGGATCACTCCAGTTCTCCCTCAGAAGAGAAAGAAAAAGGAAATGACATGGATTCGTGTGGAAGAAAAAAATCTCAAGCAGCCAATAAGGATGGCGGAAGCTGTTTTTCAGAGCAAAATAAAAATTTAGAAAGTGAAGATGATAGTCAAAGTAATGCTAGTATTTTTCACTAGGTTGTACTATAGAATTGTGTGAAGTAGTCCTATATACCCATTATGTTTGTATAATGTAGTTTTTTTTCTTTGCTCTTTATAAGAGCTTAGTAGATTAGAACAGGGGTGGGCATTTATGGCCCTTTACAATTTGTGGCCTCCAACTTCCAGAATTCCTGAGTTAGCATGGCTGGCTCAGGAATTCTGGGAGTTGAAGTTCACAGGTTATAAAGGAGCCATAATTGCATATCTCTGCTCTAGAAACTAACATGTTGTTTATACGGTTTACTTAGGTTATTAGCAAGGTTTTAACTGCCATATAATATAAGTGAACTTCAAAATTGTTATGGACAGTTTTTGGACCTGGAGTGTGCCTTCCCTGTTGTAGCTCATGAGATGTGTAGATACCCCTAGGAGAAAGTGATTTTTATTTTTTTACACGTTAAAAATGTGCAATATCCCAAACTTGTACCTAAGACATGGCCACAATAAACACTGTTTTGCTCTGCATGTGCTTTTCTTGTGTGAAAATATTCTTTAAAGGGTTAACTACTGTTCTGAATATAACCAGGGAAACTTCTGCTATTAAAATTACTTTCCTCTTCCCATTTCATTTAGTATGGATAATTGAGACCATAAGGCCACGACTGGGAGCAAAAGTTCTTCAAGTGTTTGGAAAAAAAGCAGGAAGCAAATACATCCTTGATTAAGCTACCGAAATAAATAATTATAGGAAGTATTAACCTTTGCCTTTCTTGATAAACATTTTGAGACGTTGTATTGCTTCCTAATCTACACATGAATAGAACCTTATTCTTTTATGTATAGCTCCTTAACTATATCTTTCTAAATTACTCTGTTTAGATGTGAATGTATTTCACCAAAATTACAGGTAGCTAATACTAGATCAGAATTGTAATAGGTTATGTCCGACCCTGTGCATTTTATTTGCACTCTCCCACATTTAGATAACAGCCATTCTTTGCCCTACTTCCTGGAGAAAACCTTTTTTCAGACAATTCTGCATTTCTCCAGGCTGATGTACCGTACAAGTCATACGGCATGAGGAATACATATAAATTAATGGAGGTAGCATTCATCAATAAAATGACATATTTAGATATAACTCAGCTACTACTTTGAATCACTGATTACAAGTGACGATCATTTTAACGTGCATTCATTCTATTCAGTTTAAAAACTAAGAACTTTTTAAGCATTCTATTAATGTGCATTCAAAAGGCACATTAATATTAAAGCATAATTATTTTTATACTTTATTTCAGTCTTCCCTAATCTGGTGTCCTCCAGATCTTTCAGACTAAAACATTGCTTTTGCCTCCCAGCATAGCATCGATGAGAGTTTTCAACTCGCTGTCTATTTATAAATGGGACACATAAATGTTGTAAATTGATTTCTGAATCTAATAACTGATTTCCATATCTACAATAGTCCCTGTTATGAACTAATTGTATATTGGAAGCCAAATACTACCAATGTCAGCAAACGTCTGAAATAGTCTATCACTATTAACGCTCAAAAGACAAAAAATGCCTGTTAAATATAATAGTGCCTCCTACACTTAAAGAATAAAAATGTAAGCAATTGTGTTTTTCAGAAGTTTAGAAACTGAAACTAAATTTGGTTTGCGAAAAAGTTGCTAGCTGACAAACATACGTGGTCAATTACATTTCTATCTCCTAGAAGATCATGGACAATGAAGTTCCTGGAAATTATGTACAGGACTGCAAATTGTTCAGAGGAATTCAAAACATTAAAATGAGTATATTGCAATCATCTAGGTTTGGCAAAAAGATACCTATCTTTGAAAGGGGGTTAGTTCATTTCCCAGTTGGATGTAAAAACTAAATTTAATTGCATACTATTCATATGCGAATTTTCAAGACAGTATATGGCTATTACACAACTCCTAATTGGAATAATATGAATACACGTATACTAATATTAACGAAGTATATTTCTGATGCTATTCATTGAGTCTATTCATGTACAGGTAATCCTCAACTTATGACCGCAATTGAGCCAAAATTTCTGTTGCTAAGCGAGAGTTAATTTTGCCCCATTTTACAACCTTAATTGCTGCAGTTGTTAATTGAATCAATGCAATTGTTAAAGTACATAACACAGCTGTTAAGTGAATCTGGCTTCCCCATTAACTTAGTTTTTCAGACGGTCACAAATGGTGATCATATGACCCTGGGACACTGCAACCGTCATGAGTTGCCAGTAGGAATGGTAGAATAGTTGCAAATGTGAAAAAAGGTCGTAAGTCACTTTTTTCAGTGCCATTGTAGCTTTGAATGGTCACTAAATGAATCTTGTAAGTTGAGGATTACCTGTACCATCCTAGATATGAATATTTTATGAATATTTCAATGTCTGTTTTATAGATGTGAACGTGGCTAGTTAATTACCTTTAGAAGGCCTTTCTAAAATGAACTGGCTCGCACAGACCCCTCAGAAGAAGACAATGGTAAGCTGGTGCCTTCTCTGTCATGGCACCTGTCTTATGGAACAGTCTCCCTTCAAAATCTGGAGGGTCTTAAACCTGGACTTCTGGAAGACTATGAAAACTTTTCTAGATGCTGGACCAGGACATTCGTTGAATCTAATATAGGTGTAGTTGTGTTCTGACTTCTGGTGCCTCAGGTACTGTATTCTGGTTATGTATGTAAGATGGGCAGTCTTGTATAAATAAGTACATTCTCTAAATAAATATTGTTGCCAAGAAAAATAATTTGACAGAAAACTGATCCTGGCTGTGGTTTAGGTGTACACACAGACGCACGTCTTGAATTACCAATTGCCCTTAGGTTGCATTTCTTCCCTCAGCTTGAGTCAGTTGCCTCATGTTTATCCAAGTAAGACAACTTAGCCAAATAAGGAAAGCCTCACAGAAAATGTATATGCATGCTAGTACACAATTAAACATTTTGTTCTGACATTGGCAAACTGAGCTTCCTTCTCATTATTTTTTTTCCTTTTCCTTTGAGTATGTTGTCCATTTAGTAGGAAGGTCTAAGGCAATTCTCGTGTCACTGATGAAAGCTAAGACAATCTTTAACAAAGAGTGGAACAGTAGTAACTAAATTAGTACTACATTGGAATAAACTCTTAACAATTTTGTACAGGTAATCCTCGAGTAACGACCACAATTGAGCCCAAAATTTATGTTGCTAAGTGAAACATTTGTTAAGGGAGTTTATCCCATTTTATGACTTTTCTTTCCACAGTGGTTAAATGAATCATTGCTTTGTTGTTAAATGAATCTGGATTCCTCATTGACTTTGCTTATCAGAAAATTGTAAAAGCTGATCAAATGACTCCAGGACATTGTAACTGTCATAAAAATGACCCAGTTGCCAACCATCTGAATTTGGATCATGTGACCATGGGGATGTTGCAACAGTTGTAAGAGTGAAAAATGGTCGTAAGTCACTTTCTTCAGTGCTGTTGTAACTTTGAACAGTCACCCAATGAACTGTTGTACACAGAGGATTACCTGAATATATAAACTATAGTTTGCAAAGTGCAGTCAAAGATCATAACTATGATTATATCAGCTGCCTCCCATGGCTTAAATTAAGTAAAATTCTAATGTAGTAATTAATCATTTTTATTCTTAGCAGAAACTAGGGAAGCCTAACATTTGTCCAAGGATTCATTTGGAACATGGTTAAAAAGCCACAACTACACCTGGATCTCCCTAATTTGATCATGCAGTTTTTAATGGCCAGACGAAATAATAATCTGGGAATGTAATTTATTTTGGAACAGAATCGTTGTTATACAATGAAACCATCTCTGGCTACTTATAGACTTTCAATACAGTATGTGGAAGTTATGCATATTCCAATTCAAATGAAGATGCTTATGCTCTGAGAAAGACGGTGGCCATTTATTTCAAAGAACTGGAATAAAGTATTTGCTGGGCCTGACCTTTAATTAAAAGCAGCATTTAAGAATTGTGGCACAGTGGTTAGAATGCAGTATTGCAGGTTAACTCTGCCGACTGTCAGCAGTTCAATCCTGAACGGCTCAAGGTTGACTTAGCCTTCCATCGTTCCAAGGTCAGTAAAATGAGGACCCAGATTGTTGAGGGCAATATGTAAACCGCTTAGAGAGGGTTGTAAGGCACTGTGAAGTGGTATATAAGTCGAAGTGCTATTGCTACTTGCTAGCTGCTATAGGTAGTCCTTGATTTACAACTATTCATTTATCAACTGTTCAGAGTTACAACAGCACTGAAAAAAGTGATTCACGACTGGTCCTTGCTTTTATGACCATCAGAGCGTTCCCATTGTCATGTGATCAAAATTTGGGTCCTGGGCAACAACTGGCATGTGTTTACAATGGTTGCAGTGTCCCAGGATCACATGATCACCATGTGAAACCTCAGCCATCATCCAACAAACAAGTTAATAGGGGAAGCTGGATTCACTTAATGATCGCATGATTCACTTAACTGCAATGATTTGTTCAAACAATCATGGCAAAAACGGGCATAAAATTGGGTGTAATTCACTTAACAACCACCTTGCTTAGCAAGAAAAATTCTGGTGCCAAATGTGATCATAAGACCACCTGCATCAACGAGAGGAATTTTTTGCCGAAGGGCAAGATTATCAGCCCAAATTAATATTACACGTCTAAGCAAGGTATCCTTTCTACATGAGATTGAAACAATTTCTGAAATTGTAGTGATTTATCAGAAACATTTGCCAGGTTAGCTATGATAAATGAAGAATGTTGATCTTCAATCTTGGCCCTTTTATGACTTGTGGACTTCAACTCCCAGAATTCCTCCCAGGCAAGCTGGCTGAGGATGATGTAGACCAACCTTTACAAAATTATGCACTCTTGAATTCTGAATTTGGGTGGTTTCTATTTCCATTTTAAAGAGCGGCCACCAGGTGGTGCTATCCTACATAAAATTAGCTAAAGAATCCTGTTCCAAATTTTATACCTAAAGATGTATAAACAAACAAATAAAGGGAAACTTAGATTTGGGAGGCTTTGTTGTTGTTTTGTTTTGTTGTAGGGAAACAGTTTCTCAAGCAAT